TAACATAAACGGGCAAGGTGAGACAGTATATCGTGATGCAAAAACTGCAGCAAGTTATCCAGAAGATCTAGATAAGAACTCTGATAAAGATGGCTATACTGCATCACAGATTTTAAAGTAGATAAAACAGCCTTATATAAGAAAAAGATGTCATGTAGGACTTTTGTACCTAGAGAGAAAAAATCAATGCCTGGCTTCAGATCTTCAGAAGATAGCTGGTAATTTTAAGTTGAAGCCAATGCTCATTTACCATTTCAAAAATCTTTGGGTCATTAACACTAATGCTAAATCTACTCTGCCTGTGTTCTAGAAATGGAATGAAAGACCCTGGATGGCAGCACATCTGTTTACAGCTTGTTTAAATGGGTTATGGAATATTTCAAACCCACTTCTAAGAACTCATACTCAGAAAAAAAGATTTCTTTAAAAATATTAGTGTTCATTGACAATGCAGTTAGTCACACAAGAGATCTGATGGAAGTGTACAAAAAGAGTAATGTTTCTGAAGCCCATGGATGAAAGAGTAATTTTGACTTTCAAGTCTTATTATTTAAGAAATACATTTCAGGCCGGGCTCAGTGGCTCAGCCTATAATCCCGCGCCTTTGGGAGGCTGAGGTGAGTGGATTGCCTGAGCCCACGGGTTGGAGACCCGCCTGGGCAGTGAGACCTCATCTTTTCAATAAATCAAAAAATCAGCCAGGCGTGGTAGCGCATGCCTGTAATTCCGGCTACTTGGAAGGCTGAGGCGGAAGGATCGCCGGAGCCCAGCAGGTCGAGACTGCGGTGGCTGGGAGCGGCCACTGCACTCCAATCTGGGTGACAGAGTGAGACTCCGACTCAAAAAAAAAAAAAAAGAAAAGAAACAAACATAAGTAACATAGTTACATGTACACACTTAACAACCAGAGGCTAACTCTAACATCAGTGGATTATGCATTCTCTCTCTCTCTCTTTCTGTTATATCTGAATTTTCTGCTTTCTTTTTAATGAAAGTACTTTGAAATCAACATATGTTACTCTTTAAACCAAAAAAAGTCTTCCCATCAGAATCAGAGACAGTAAGAGCTACAAGGTATTTAAAAGATCGTCTGATAGAATCTGTTTATGAAACAAAGAAGAAAACCCAGGGAGGCTACAGGTCGCCACAGCATGCGCACATCAGTGGTAAGAGTAGTACCAGACCCACAGCCACAACTTTTGGCTTGAGTCTTCCCTCTTTGCTGCTGCCACCTCTGGTCACACGAGAGACTTGGAGGTAGAGCACTCAGATCACTTTACAGGGACCTCTGTTCTAGAGATGTCTTCTGTCTAGGTCACTGAGCAAATGAGAACCATGAAATGCAACCCCTGAACTTTTTGATAGGAAAGTCAGCCAACGCCATCAACATAGCCAAGTACTACAATGCGGCCTGCTTGAGCATCGACTCCATTGTGCTGGAAGCCGTGTCTGACAGCAGCAGCGTTGCAAGGGTCCGGGCCCGTGAGCTTTGCATTAGGGCTGCCATAGAGCAGTCCATGAAAGAAGAAGAGCCTGGTAAGAATCATCCTCCCTGGCTTTTGTGGGCAAGTGGTCGGCACCCCCATTGGTAATACCCATTTTCTCCATGCCCTGCTGAGCTTTCCTTCCACAGCCTAGTTCAAGGCTGATATACAACATGCTACCAACTTATTAGCCCAGAGAAGAATTATCTTCACCGAGCATATCCAGGTCCCCTGATCTGCCCAACACAGGTGTGCTCTTGCCACTGTAGGGAACAGGACAATAAATATGACAGTCTACACCTTTGGGATCCTGCAGGAGAAGCAGACACAAGGTCATTCAGAGTAAAGGAAAATAATGTTGCAGCAGAAGTACCAGCTTCTGTAAAAGAACAAATTTGGGATGAGTGGGTCCCAAAAAAAGGTGACTTGGAATGTTTTTGTGGAAATGAGCTTTGAAGGAGCTGGAGAAAGTTAAAATACAAAAATGGGGACAAGGATATTCCAGACCAAGAAAGCAGGGAAATTGGCAGTAAACTAGAGGTAAAAGAAAAAACCAGTTGAGGCCAATCATAGTTGACCATGAATGCCAAGATTAGGAATTTAGATTTATTTTGAAGGAAAAGAGGAGCTGGGGCAGTTTTAATGCTATGGAGAAATGGTCAGAAAGTCATGCTAGGAAAGTAGCCCCTGGATATCTTGCAAAGGAAACAACAGTGAGCTGCAGTTGACTGGGCCTAGGCTAGCTGGCCCGATGTCCACTTTCGTGGCAGAGAATTGAAGGAGTGGGAGGCATTCAAGATGGTCACACCAAGATTTCTAGCCACAGAAAGCAGGAGAAAATGATACCATTTGCCTAGATAGGGAACATGTGAGGAAGAGCAAGATTACTGGAGAAGAAAATGAAGTGAGTTTTTGAATCCCATAGTGGTAAGGCCTGGTGTGGCCTTCCTACCAGAAGTCAAGAATCCTGGCGCCATCAGGACATCTGAGGGCCTTCAGGCAGGAAAGCTCAGGGGAAAATATATTGAGTACAAAGCAGAGTACCTGCTCAGAGCTGAATTCTTTCTGTGTCAGTACTCATGATAACATAACACCATTTGTAAGAGTACTTACCACCTGCTAACTGATAAGGCTGGCTGGGGCTATCAGGCTCCTTTCCTTCCCTCAGTATCTCGTGTGGGACACTTAGGGAAATGGAAGACTCTTTGTGGGAAGATAAGAAGTTATCTTAAATTTGTTGTTTCCTTTTCTGTAAAATAACCCACATTTTATAGTGATCTGTGGAGTTATGTTCATGTCCTCTGCCAAATGGTGAATCTGAGCTCCTAGTCTGAGAAAGTAATATCAAGCTAGAGACAGACTTGGGGGAGTCTTCCTGAGAAAGTATGAGGTGCAGCTGGTAGATGAACCAACCCAAAAGGCCCAGAATGGTGGGGAGGGATGGATGGGGTGGGATAGGACCTTGGGAAACACTGACATTTCAGGAGGAGGTGGCCGAGGAAAAGCCAGGGAATGCCGAGACAGCAGAGAGGATCACAAGAGCAGGGGACTTGTCAGGGAAAGAGCCCTCAAACTTCAGGAAAGGGAGAGAAAAGGAGCTATTTCACATCTCAGAGCCTTGCTGGAGACCAGGGGAGCCTTCCTGCTCTACTGTTCTCACAGCCATCATCTCCAGTTAACACACTATTTATTTATTTCATGTCCCTCCCTCTATTCCCAGTGTAAGAGATTTGTATTAGTGTTCCTCACTACTATATTCCCAGCACGTGGCACATAGTAGTGCTGGGAATATAGATTTATAATACAGATTTATAAAAACGTATTAAATCAATAAATGAGGAGACTGCTGAAAGCCCAAATAGAATGAGCCCTGAGTGGAGCACAGCTGCGTTTCTCAGTCAGGAGGTCCCTTGTGTCTTTGGAGAAAGCCCAGTCAATGGAGGAGTTAGGCCCTACCCCGTATCTGTTGTCCGCCATGGAGTCAGCAGGCTATAATGAAGTGGCAGCAATAAATTCTAACTCATCTGTGCCACACAGTAAGCACTGGCCACAGGGGCTGCTTAGCTTGTGAACTGGGCTAGTTCAAACTCAGAGGTGTGGTGAGTGTTCAACACACAAGGGAATCCTGAGATGCAATATGAAGAAAAGACTAAAACAACACATTATAACTTTTAGACATTATTTGCATGTTGAAATGATCACATTTTTGATATATTGGATTGACTAAAATACATAATTAAAATTAAGTATTTTAGCCAGGCTCAGTGGCTCAGCCTGTAACCCCGCGCCTTTGGGAGGCTGAGGTAAGTGGATTGCCTGAGCCCACGGGTTCGAGACCCACCTGGGCAACTTGGCAAGACCTCATCTCTACAATAAATCAAAAATTAGCCAGGCGTGGTAACGCACACCTGTAGTTCCAGCTACTTGGAAGGCTGAGGCGGAAGGACCACCTGAGCCTAGCAAGTCGTGGCTGCGGTGGCCGGGAGCAGCCACTGCACTCCAGTCTGGGTGACACAGTGAGACTCCAACTCAAAAAAATAAAAATTAAATTAAATTAAATTAAGTATTTTTTAATGTGGCTACTATAAATTTTTAAATTATATGCATATATGTGGATTGTTATATGTCTGTTGGACAAAGTAGGCTTTATTGTGCCATCTCCACTGTCTTTTGTTATTATTCTAAAATAACTTTTAATTTAAAAAACTCAACTCCCTCTTTGTAGCCCAGGAGACTTCTGTGAGCCAAAACGTCATGGGCCAAGGACGACTAAGCAGTGAGACCTTGGGCAAATTAACCTCAGATATTACTCTGATGGCCCCAGAAATTAAAGCTGGAAAGGGCATGCGTGGAAGTGTGCTGATCACCAAAAGCAAGGCAGAGAGCCACGGTTCCGGGTCGCAGAAGCAGCATCACTCACACCAATCTGAAACACCACAGGTACATATCAGGGCTCTCCGAAGGAAGGTTAGAAGCTTTCCTCCTTCTCAGCATCCTGCAGCCGGGTCAGTTCCCTTCATTCCTGCATATGTCCTCCCAAGTCAGCCTGAGCACTGTACCTGCACCATCCTTTTGGAAGGGGTGTCCAACAGCAGGTGCTCAGAAGGCACCTTTCATGGTATAGGCACTTGGGGTGGGTACAAGTGAAGATAAAGCAGATTCCTTGCACTCAAGCTGCACTGTCTGATCAAGGAGATAACTGCACTTGTAAACAGCTGCAATAAAATGCGATTAGTGAAAAGAGATGTAAAAGGAGTTAGATTGAACTATAGGAAATTGCCAAAATCCAATCATTTTGGAACTCTGTAGCAGCAGCTTCCTATGACTCAACCTAATACTAAATAAATGTTAAGCATAAACTATTAATATAAGTTGTGGGAGGGCTGCAGGGGGAGTCTTGGAAAGTCAGAAAGAAGTCACAGTGTTTGAGCAATATCTCAAGGGAATTGAAGAGCAATCCTGGCAGATTGGCAGGTACTGGAGTCAGAGACAATGAAACGAGTAATAAACTGTAGGTGGAAAATAGAGTCAAGTGAGTGTAGGCCTTTAAGTTGTTTAAGTGAGAAGGAAAAAAGATAGAGTTGTAAAAGGACAAAGCCAAGGGTCAAGAGAGTATGTTCTCAGAAAGGAGGTAGAGGCACATGCTGGTCTATAAAGCATGGAACTCCTGGAGAAGTATAAGGTGACAATTCACCTGATAGGGAATGAGATTCTGGGAGGAGGAAGAAAGGGCAAGGTTAAGCACAGTTAATATAGAAGGGAGTTATATTCCTTTGGGGTCAGTAAAGGTAAAAACGGATACAGCTAAGGGTGGGAGAAGCAGGGTGAAAAATGGAAATTGGAGAAGATCTTGTTGAATAGCTCAATGATACATGCAGGAGGCTTAGTCTTTTGTGGGATGCAGTGAGGAGACTGGGCTGCAGAGCATGCTTGAGGAGAGCAGCAAAGCACTGATGTCTCCACTGTGGTGAATAGAAACAGACATTGGTGATGTACAAAGAAAAAATAGTTGATAATGCCGATGGCCCAACTTAAAATTCACAGTTATATAATTTCTCCAAGTGGCCCCTGACAGCTCTTATCAGAGGTGGAGAAAGAAGAAGTTGTCATCATTGAAGGAGAAGGGCATGCTTAGAACTAGGGGCAAGGGAATTGAAGCTGGCATCTGTTTGGGAAGTCCAGCCTAGGTGGAGAAGGAATTGAGAAGAGGACATAGAATGGGAGAAACAAAAAGAGTTAAGGTTCTGTGGATCTTGTACAGTTTGAGAGTTCTGTTGGGGAAGTGGGAGATGGGATGGAGCAGAGATCAAGGCCCTTGAAGGAAAGGAGTCCTGTTCATTGAATGGGGCAGATGGATAGATTAGAGATGAAAGTCTTCTTAGGAGAGGAGACGTCACCTGAAGTTTTGATGGAGCATCACAGTGGCTGAATTTGTGCCTGAATCTGTGATGATGTCTCTGATCATCACTGTAATCTTGCATTCTTCTGACACTTTGAAAATGGAAACCATTGACTCATTTTCTTTTAGAGAACTATCCTTTTGATCCTCTTTCCCAGGATCTAATACAAATTTCTTTACACAGATGTTTATAGATGAATTAAAACAAGTGTGTTACCTAATAGGGTGTTATGGGGAGGCATTTCCTTAGATTTGGTTCTGTTCATCTGGATAGTGAAGTAAGGGTTTTTAGAATACTTCAAAGGCAGCAGAATATCCCAATTCTGATTCCAAACTCCTTTTAATAAATAGGAAACTTAAAAATCACAGGAGAAATCATAGCTTACAGAGCCTACATGTGACTTCTTTCTCTGCCCCAGTGTGACAGGACTCAAATGGTCTGGACAATAGAGTCCCCCTGTCAGAGTGCCTACCCAAGGAAATGACTGTTTGGTCTTTTTTTTTTTTTTCCCAAAATGTGGGGTACAATTCAGTGTTAGATATACAAATGTTCATTATGCAGGTACCCTTGTTGATGAGGTGTACCCCTCCCACCCCTAGCAGTTTCCCACTACTGCCAATCCCTTTCTTATAGTATTATGATAATTGTTCAAGGTCCGCTTATGAATGAGAACATATGGTACTCTGTTCTTTGTTTCTGTGAAAGATCACTGAGTGTGACAGACTCTCAGTCCATCCAAGTTGCTGCAAAGTCCATATGTTTGTCCATCTTTATGGCTGTATAATATTCCATTGTGTATATGTACCACTTTTTTTATCCAGTCCAGCTTCAATGGGCAGCATGGTTGATTCCATGTTTTTACTATTGTGACTAGAACTGACACAAACATACACGTGCAGGTATCTTTTTTGTAGAGTGATTTGAGTTCCTCTGGGTATATTCCCAATAGGGGAATTGCTGGATCATATGGAAGGTCAATTTCTAGTTCTTTCAGAAATCACCACACTGTCTTCCAAAGAGGCTGCACTGGTTTGCATTCCCACCAGCAGTGTAGAAGCGTTCCTTTTTCTCTGCATCCTTGCCAGTATCTGTTGTTGTTCGTTTTGTTAATGATGGTCATTCTTACTGGGGTTAGGTGGTATCTCAATGTGATTTTGATTTGCATTTGTCTGATCATGAGTGAGGCTGAGTACTTTTTCATGTGTCTGTTGGCTGCCTATATATCTTCTTTTGAGAAATGTCTATTCATGTCTTTTGCCCACTTTTTAATGGGGCTATTTGGTTTTTTTTCTTTTCAAGGTGTTTGAGTTTCTTGTAGATCCTAGATGTTAGGCCTTTGTCAGATATACAGTTGGCAAATATTTTTTTCCATTCTGTGGGCTGTCTCCCTGCTCACTTGATGGTTTCTTTTGCTTTGCAGAAGCTGGTCAGTTTGATGGGGTCCCATCTGTTATCTTATTTCTTAAGGGCACTTAGGGTTCTGATCAGGAATTGGTTGCCAGTTCCAATTGCCGCAATGGTGTCTCCTGCATTTTCTAAGATTCTTATAGTTTGAGGTTTTATGTTTAGGTCTTTGATTCATTTAGAGTTAATTTTTGTGTATGATG